GTATATATATATATATATATATATATATATATATATATATATATATATATATATATATATATATATATATATATATATATATATACACACACACACTTGCAGGATTAGATGCTCCACTAAATACATTTTCAGATTCAGAATATATATATATACACAGCTGCATGGCTCTTTAAAATGTTCTAAACAATTCTCTGTAAAATTAGGTTGTGATGTCTTTTCAAAAATCTGTAAGCCTAATCTTGCCTAGATTTGTTCACTTTTGTTTGTGAAGGATACTTTCGATGTAGTCTTTCAATGCAGCCAGATCCCAAAGCTCTTCATCCTGCTGATGAAATGCTTTATAATTGCTCAATTTTGAGTAATGACAAGCTCTCACTCAGCGGGAATAGCAGTTCAACAAGGTTTCCACATATTTTTGGCTTTACTACATAAATAATTTCTAGGAGTTGATCTGGAAACTTTGTAGGTCTCAGGGGCCCTTTTGACTGGAATACCTGCAGCAGTGGCCATTAATAACATATGAAAAACACTTAACAACAAGAGTATCATTATTTTAACTTTTTTGTAACAGGCAGGTTAACATTGCGCTCTCAAATTATGTTGAGTGGGACATTGCATCTTTAAAACTTAAGCTGATTTTAGCAAAAAACTGATAAATATGGTAAACTCGCCATATTACCTCACTGTGACCATATGACCCCATCTGACGGTAGTTTCAAACCACTGACATATAAAAACTTCTGTATTGCCCTATTTGATTAGTATTTTCTGTGAAAATATCTTGATTGTCTAGTGCTATCGAGATATATTTTATAATTCTTTACATGACTATGATTACAAATAAAGCATGAATATGAATAAAACATATGATTTAAAAACATCAAAATAAAGTTCCAATGCAAAATGGAAGCCAGAGCTTTTATAATTATATTTAATTCCTTTATAATTTATATTTATTATATTTTCATAACACCACAAATATATAAACATATTTAACAATTTAAAAAAAATAATATTAAAATAATAATGCTAAAATGAAATATTAAAATAAATAAAATTATTAATCAAAATAAAATATTTATAATTAACTTTTTGAAAAAAATACCTTATTTTATCAGGGCCAAAATTTACATCATAAATGAAACAACCTCGTTTTTCATTAAAATATTTTTTATGGCGGTTAATTGCTTCAACGCGGGTTATAATCTCCCCTTTTTATTCCAATAAAGCTTCATTAGCAACAAAGTCCCTCTTTGTGAAAATCCCATAACCTAATATAAAAAGTAATTCAAAAATAAAGTGGATAAAACAGTCACTTGATGTGATATAGATTTTGTTAATTATCAATTAACAAAATCTACACAATAAAAGAAAGAACCTTGTTTATATACATATATATATATATATTTATATATATATATATATATATATATATATATATATATATATATATATATATATATATATATATATATATATATATATATATATTTATATATATATATATATTTATATATATATATATATATATATATATTAGGGTGGTCATTAAAACATTTTTCTTTTCAAATCTCTGCTCAACTACTCAAAATGTGTTCTATATAATAATATAATACTAGAATTCAAAAATTTTCAAAAAAAAAAAATTTTTAGGGATAGCTCAAGACCCTTGAATATAGGGACATCAGACAGGTCCCTATAATCATCAAAAAAAAAAAGTTTTTCAAAAGTACATCGAAGTGGGTCTCAAAAGAAACAAAATTATTTATTATTAAAATAGCTTTATTAAATGGTATGAAGATTAATGATTCTTCTTCTTTAGAAAACCATTAACGATTTGAAAGACTTTTAATTTGATTATAAAAGCATTATCTAAAAATGAAATAAAATCATTATTGATAACACTGAATGCACATTTATTTGTTTTATGTTAATTCATTTGAAAAATGAAAAATACGAAACGAAATTTAGTAATATTAAATAAATATTAGACACTTTCTTTGTGAGAGTGCTTTTGTAAAAGTCTCTAATATTTGGTTGGAAGGCTGGAAATACTCTTTTTTAAAAAAAATTCAGTTTTATCAGCATTGCTAAAGATAAAAATTCTTACTGACACAAAAAAATTAGGCATTTTTTCTTAAAATATTTCTTGGCTTTAAGTGAATGATTAGGAGTAAGTTTCAGTAATGAAGCTCCCCAATAATCATTTTAAACGATAGACACCAACGTGAAGGTAAGCCAAGCTGTCTATCAACACAAAACATCACAACAACATTACAGGATGACAAACAATAACACCAGTAGTGTAGGCAGGATTTTTGTTATTTCAGATATATATTTAGAAGCTGTTGAAGAGTTTAACTTTGTTATGTCTAAAAAAATTCAGGTTAGGAAAAACACTTTTTTCAAACATTTGTTCCTAAGCTTTAACAACATCAATTTTTTGCAAAGTATTTTAATTCTATAAACGTGAATACACTTAAGTTTGGTTGAAAGTGCTATCTGAAACATCAAAAGACCCTGCCTATGCTACTGAATACACATAGCATCAAATATTTGTACATAACACATTTGCACATAACACAAAATATTCAGATTATGTGTTTCCAGAATAATTAAAAAAGCTAGACAACACAACCTAGCTCAACACTTGTAACACCGCTTGGCACTAAACGCTGCCAAGTAACACCACAATTTAGTAACACCGCTTGGCATTAAGTGCCAAGTAACACCACTAATTAGTAACACCGCTTGGCTAGCAAGAATCACAATCTTGCACTACACGTTGCCAAGTAACACCACTTTTCACATGGAAACAACTTTATATAAACTTGTATAAACTTAAGCACATAAATATAAATAAAGATATATAAACGCATATAAACACATACATTTATATACACATATAGCAAAAAAAAAAAAAACATACAAAAAATATAAAACACATATAACACATAATATACTTGTCAAAATTATAAATTAAGAACATTTGTAAAGACAACATTATTTGTGTAATGTTTGTTAAATGACATACCTTGTAATGGATGTTTATCAACTTTGAAAAACAAACTATTAAATGATCTTGTTCTTGAACATGCAACATATAATTGGCCGTGTGAAAAGCAAGGCTTTTTGAGATAAACACCAACTTTTTCAAATGTTTGACCTTGACTTTTATTTATGATCATTGAGTATGCTAACCTAACTGGAAACTGACGGCGTTTAAGTGTAAAAGGTAAATTTGCATCTGATGGAGCTAATTGAACTCGAGGAACAAATACCCTGTTACCAGCTGATACACCTGTTAAAACCTCACCATCAATATAATTTTTGTGTAATGCACGCACCATCAAACGGGTTCCATTACAAAGTCCACCTTTGAGATCTAAATTTCTAAGTAGCATCATAACAGCACCAATTTTTAGTTTTAGGCAATGAACAGGCATACCTGATGGAGTCAAACTATTTAAAAACTCGACTGGAAAGTTATTAATTTCATTAAGATCATCAGTATCAATGCTATCTGAACTTAAATATGTTTTCACATCACCGGGTAAACGATGAAGGACTTCTTCATTTATTGCCAATGAATCAACATTTGTTGGCGTTAAAATAGCACGTTTTGCATAATCAGCTTCTTCTGCACCACCAAAAATCTTCTCCACAAAAGACTCATTATCACTGAGAAAGCACTGCTCAGGTATTTCAATACACCCTCGCAAAGGATCTTCAGGCTTGACAGGTAATGTTCCACTTCCAAGCTTTAAAAGCCATTGAGAAAACTCCTCTTCTTCTATCTGAACCCTCATATTTACAGTTAATGAGAACCTTTGCACATATTGCCAATGTTCAGAACATTTTAAACATGATTCTGCTGGTCGACCTCGCTTCACAAATGGAAGTATTTGTCTGAAGTCTCCACCCATAAGAATAACCTTACCACCAAAAGGAAAATTGTTATTACAAATATCTTGTAATAGCTTATCAATGGCACTCAAAGCATATTTGGGTATCATAGATGCTTCATCAAGTAAATACAAACTGATTTGTCTCAGGAATCTACCATGAGTAGAGTTTGGAGTTACATTACATGTGCTAGTTTCCAAAATTGGAACAGGAAGTTTGAATAAGCCATGCATTGTGCACTTATTTTTGAGAAGAGTTGCAGCTATTTCTGTCCATGCAGCTGTTGCAGTTCTTATATGCCTGCTCTGTGTTTCAGAAATTAAATAATTGTAAGTAAATGTTTTACCACAACCGGCAGGCCCATCCTTAAAAAACAACCTTGAATGCTTATTTTCATAAGTAGGTTCCACACTTAGTGCAGCAAGGATCGCATCAGCTACATTACGTTGATTATCATTCAATAATGGTCTAACTCGGTTTGCTTCATCAATAAACACCTGAACATCTTCATCATCATTTTCTGGGACATTATCTAAAAACTGATCTAAAGCTGGCAAATTATAATCAGCTAAGGTTTTACCACTCTGATTAATTATAGATTCAATTTGACGAAGAGCTGCCTGCTCAGCAAGTTCGACTGGCATTGAATGGTGTATGTAATCCTCAACCATATAATTTTTAAATGTATTCCAAAGGTGTAAAGGATCATCAGGTTCACATAAAGTTAATATGATTGAAAACAGTAGCCTAATTTGTTTAGGCATCCGAGTTGCAGCAGCTTCAGTTAATGTATTTCTCCACTCAATGTCATCTTGCAATAAACCTAAATGATAACATGCTTCACGAAATGTATTAAAAACAGTACCATGAACAGTACGCAAATCCTCAAAAGACTTTGCACCTTTTACATGCAAAAGTAACAATCTGAGAAAAAATAATTCGCAAAATGAACTGACTTTATACATTCGAACAACCACCTTATCACTACCTCTTTGTCTTACTTTCCACATGCAATTTTTACCAAAAACAACGTGATATGGAATTTCAACATAAGAATACTGACGTGCTTCATTATTTTCAGCATTTAACTTAAACTAAGCGGTTAGGTGAGTGTCACGCTGTGCTGCACGATCTATAGCTACTTGTTCTTCTCCTTCGTTAAAATATACTCTCTGATTATCAGGAAGGTGGATTTGAAGGCGGATAATAGTATGTGACATATCACTTATGGAGTACTCATATATTCGCCAAAGTGCCTCTGGGGCGGAAACAAAGCGACAGTCTAAATATGTGTTAATTTCATCATGGTCAACACTTTCATTAATTACCACATTCGCACAATCATGCCCCTTATAGACATATTTGTATAAATACTTCACTGACTTAATAGACATGCAAGCTTCAACATTAATGTGGGCTTGGTATTTTTTTGATAAGCAGGGGCTATAGGGTACGACCCATCGATTATCAACTTGGTTACCTTTTATAATGACTACTCTACCATTATCTAAACGCCTGTAGTTAGGATAACCATTGAAAGTTGCAACAGTGCAAGGATTAAAATCTTTAGGAAATTTTTTTGTGCAAACTCCATCTTTCATGCAAGGAGAATTGGGATTTAAAATCCCACATGGTCCATGAATCATACATGTTTTTACAATTTCAAAAAGTTAAGGATCAACATTTTGATCTGGAATTTCAGCTGATATTAAACTATCAATATCCTCTGCTGTTTCTAGCTTATCATCGTTTACAAAGTGTAATAAAATATGCACATGTGGCAAACCACGCTTTTGAAACTCAATAACCTGTACATGACTTACAACTTTGCCTAAGACTCCATGTTTAAAAATATCACCTAAGAAGCATTTAAGTTTCATCTTAAATACGCGACAAACTAAATCAGCCCTGTCAGTTGCACTCTCACCTGGATTTAAATTTTCTGTATTTTCTCTCCATTTTGAATTACAGGTAAAAGTAATAAAAAGATCCGGTTTACCATATTTCTTTATAATTGCCATTGCATCTTCAAAATTTTTTTTTAAAACTCTTGGACTTCGTTTGGATGGTAGTATAACAACACGACCTGGTCTTACATTAAGGTTATTTGCAACATTATTTACATACTCATGTAATGTATCGTATTGTTCACTTCTAAGTTTGTTTTGGTTATTTCTGATAAAAGCAAGGCGCTGTCCTTCAATCTTGACATATGCATCAACAGCATACTGTTGAAAAAGTTTCTAACCATAAAATATTGGACTAAACGTTTGTCTAATAGAAAGCCTATAATTGTAGTACTGAGACAAAGTAACACGATTTCGAACACGTGTTGCTCGGTCAGGATTGTGCTCTAGTTGATCATGCCATCCTGCATCACCTCTTGGAAAAAATATTGGATATATCATTGGATCTAGATTTGCAGACATACTTGAAATTGTTTTAAAGGGTTGACCTCGAGGATAAATAACAACTTCTCTAGATGGAGGTGGAGCACCATCATTTCCTACAAACACAATGGCAACCTCTTCATGTGATGGAAAATTGTATCGACGTCTCTCACAACCCTCAAGCAACGACATTTTGACAACAGAAATCGGTCGACCTTCTATAGCAGCTTGACGAATTTCTGCATCTTCAACTTCTGCCATGTTTTTAAATGCAAGCGCATATGGGTTCTCCTGATTAATTATAGTCTGCAAAAGTTCCATTAACTCACGTATGCAACAATCATTTTGCTCCATTCGAAAGTTTAAAGCGGTATTAGGATCATAAACATATAATTGACAATAAGCAGGTGGATCCCCTTGCTGATGTCATAGATTACCAATACGATGCATAATTTGCCCACTTATTTTAAAACAGGGTGGACCACGATTTGACGGAGGATCTATTGTGGCTATGAATGAAGCAAAAGATAGACAGGCATTATAATTTCGTATATGCTTGAAAAAATTTTGATTCAAAGCACGATCAACATGGTTGCCTGTCATTAAATCAAACATCAGCGGTGGATAAGGTGAAAGTGGAGGTAAGACAACCTTTCCTGAATGGCAGCACAAAAAATGTGTTTCATTTAAAAAATTTTTAGCACCACAATACTGACAATTATGGTTCATTTCTCCTAGGTAATTACTCTCTATAAAAACATTATTTCTTTCTATGCGATGCATTCCACGCCTAAATAATACTCGTCTAGCCTCATTTCTTTCATTTTGGCGACGATTAACTTCTTCACGTCTAGCCTCATTTCTTTTATTTTGGCGACGATTAACTTCTTCACGTCTAGCCTCATTCCTTTCATTTTGGCGACGATTAACTTCTTCACGTCTAGCCTCATTCCTTTCATTTTGGCGACGATTAATTTCTTCTCGCCTAGCCTCATTCCTTTCATTTTGGCGACGATTAATTGCTTCTCGCCCAGCCTCATTTCTTTCATTTTGGCAACGATTAATTTCTTCTCGCCTGGCCTCATTTCTTTCATTTTGGCAACGATTAATTTCTTCTCTTCTGGCTTCATTTCTCTCATTTCGACGATTTCTTCTATTTTCAGCTCTTAAGTTACTTGACATAATTGAGAAATTATTTATGTTTGATAAAACTTTATCTTATTAATTTTTTGCTATACTAATCTAAAATGAACAAAAACAATAAAGTGCTATTTATCAGTTTAAACCTATGAATCTATGTGTATAGCGTCTAATAACATTTGTGAACAAAAGATATAACTAAACTGGTTTGAAACAGAGAAAAAGTATCTTGTAATAACATACTATATTGTAAGTAATAAAACAGTATTTTTTGAAACAAATAAAAATTTTTATTATTTTAAAAGTCATATTAATGGTAATATTAAAAAGCAAAATTAGTTACATATTTTTAAATGACATGCCAACAATTGCAAACATGTTGCATCATATAGACCACATGTGGCTGACAACTGATTTTAAATACTATTTTATAATATATCTAAAGAGAATAATGTAAAGATATTAATAGGTGTATAGTACATATATTAGACATATTAAACAGATATCATAGAAAAAGAAAAACTTTAAATATATTTCCCAAATCTTTCAAAAACAATATATAACACTTAACAAATAAAAGTTAATACAAAAGAAAATTTAGTATTATTAAAATTAAAAATGAGGATAAAAAGATGTAAAAACGTAAATTAATAAAAAAACTTATAGACAAATTATTAAAAACTTTTATAACATAAGAGTTCTTTGTAAGTTTAGTATTTAAAAACAGAATTAAAAATCAAAAAAATAAAATAGTAAAAGTATATAGATTAAAATAATAAAAAATTGCGAAATTAAAAAAAACATTTTTTTAAAAAGTCAATTTTCTTTATAAATAAAAAAGAAGAACTCTACCAGTAGTTTAAAAAAGCTACTGGTAGAAATTAAAAGAGTAAAACCGCTTTCCAGCACCCCTCTTTTACCAGTGGTGTCATATGGGGCTTGTCTCCTCCATCTAAAGGAGGGATCATTTCCCCCATATTGACTCCACCGGTAAAAAGCTCATTGAGATATCGGACCTGGGTGCTGGGAGCGATATCGCAGGAAATCTTGATACGATGCTAAAAGACAAAAACAAAAAAAGAAATAAATTTGAATACAATACTGCACAAAACAACCAATAAAAATATTATTTAAAACTATTTAGACTTCAAAAAAAAAAAAGTTATGACAAAAAAAATAAATAAATAAAGTAATGTAAAAATAAGGATATGCAATGTTTAAATTTCATATATACCTACACAAATACACATAACACCCACAAAACTGCATAAGTATGCAAAACAGATTACCTGATGGTCCTGCAGATATTGTTGCTATTATGGAAATAAATAAAAAAGTATATGAACTAACACATATATTAAACAGTTATGTAATTGCATACAAACATGAAAAAAGTAATGTTTAGGTTTCAATACACATAACACTGTATAAGTACGGAAAAACTGCATAAGTATGGAAAACACATTACCTGGTGGTACTGCAGTTGATACTGTTGCTATTGCGGAAATAAATAAAAAAGTATATAAACAAACACATATATTAAACAGTTATGTAATTGCATACAAACACGAAAAAAGTAATGTTTAAGTTCCAATACACATAACACTCATAAAACTGCATAAGCATGCAAAACACATTACCTGATGGTACTGCAGATGATATTGATGCTATTGTGAAAGTAAAAAAAAAAAAGTGTGTAAAGTAACATATGTTAAACATTTATGTAATTGATAACAAACATGAAAAAAGTAATGTTTAATTTCAATACACATAAAACCCATAAAACTGCATAAGTATGCAAAACACATTACCTGATGGCACTGCAGATGATATTGATGCTATTGTGAAAGTTAAAAAAAAAAAAGTGTATAAAGTATCATATGTTAAACATTTATGAAATTGCATGAAAACATGAAAACAAAAAAAATTAAGTTTCATAACACATAAAACTCATTAAACTGCATAAGTATGCTAAACAGATTACCTGATATTATTGCTTGAGGTGTTAATGTATAGACAAAAAAAATAAATAAATGAAGTAATCTGTAAATTAAGATATGCTATCTTTAAGTTTTAACACACATTACACTCTTAAAACTGCATAAGAATGCAAAACACATTACCTGATGGTACTGCAGATGACGCCATAGTGAATATAAACTAACATATACCAATCAATTAAACAGTTTATTTTAGAGTGATAAAACCGCACACAAACATCAAAAAATGTGTGTTAAAATTAAAAAAAAAGAAACATAAGTGTACTTTGCTTACCAATTGAATTTTCTAAATTTTCTAAATAGAATAAAAAAAACTCATTAACATTAGGAAAGAAACTAACATGCAGAATATTTGTCAACTTTAGGAAATCTATAAATAAAGTTGGAACAAAACAAAAGGCAAAAATAACAATCTCAAAACAAAACAAACCAATAAAGAAAAAAGCGACAGAGAAAATACAAAATATAAATAATAAAAACAATCCACAAGAACAATATAGTAACTTACTAAGTTGTTGAAATATAAGCCCTATAAAAAAAAAATGCTAAAAATTGTATCAAAAAAGCTAAAAGACCATAGAATACACCTTTTTTTTTGAAAGTAAAATGCTATATCTTTATCTATAAAACACAAATGTAATATAATCAAATTCTGTTTACCCATTGAATGTTCTAATTTTTCTAAATAAAATGAAAAACTTATAAACATTAAAATAAACTAACTTGCCAAATATAGAATAACTTTATGTAATAAAATAAATATGAAAAAAAAAAAAATAAAGAGCATTACAACAACAATAACAAATTGCTTACTTAGATTTTCAAAAGAATCTTCTAATTTTTCTAAATAAAATAAATTTAAAAGTTACAAAAGTCACTTGCTGACTGATAAACTGTCACAACTGACAAAAGTCAGTTGCTAAATAACTTTAAAAAACTAAAAAAGCATAAATGTATTTGCACACAAAAAAAACAAAAAACAACAACAAAATTCCTCACTTAGCTTGTCCATTACTTCCGCTAAACATTAAAAAAAAGTTATAATTAACAAATTAAAATATATATCTTTGTAACATATCCTTCTCATACAAAATTAGCTAACTTGGCAAGAGCTCTTCGGCTCTGATCTCTTGAACATCTAATATATATATAGACAAAATTAATTTTCAAAATATTTACTTTTTCAATTAAACATATAAGATTTGTCTTAAATTATAAAACTGTTGCACAGTTTTATAATTTAACACATTCAGTAAATGACAAAAAGTTTCATTTTACGTAAAAGTTTAGTAGTTAGAAGACTTAAAAGTCAATTTTAGCTTAAACACGTTTTATAAAATTATAGCTTAAACATCTTAAATAAAGCTTATACGCGTTTTTTTAAGGTTCACTGCTTTACAAAAACATCAATCAAAATAGCGGAATAAACAAAAACTGAGTATTGGGTCCACCCTTTTAAAGTTCTAAAAATTAATTTATATATTTTTAAATTTTAGTTAAATTTTAGGGGGGTGTACTTGATTCACGGGGTTAGGGTAGGGCGGCATATCTTAGTTGATTTTAATTAAAAACGGCTAAATTAAATCATCGTTTTATTCACACCGTTAATCAAGTTCAGCTCCGCCACTTTTAGAACATATGTAACTGCTACTATATATAGTATATATATATGGCTTAATTCGAAAAAATGCAGAAACTTCTTCGTCACCTAAAGATATACAAAATTATCTTAATGTAAATTCTTAGTAAAACAATAAGCTAAATATCTCAGTATTATTGACGTATCATCTCTTTTTATCTCTTAAATTAATAAATGTTATACAAAATTAAAAGAATACCTTCTGTATCTTGGCTGCTCATTTCTAAAAAATAATCCTAATGTTTATTCTTGGGTCAAAAACATATTAACTTCAAACATATTAACATGGTAATTATAAAATAAGTTTAATTTTTTAAATGAAGATTACAATAATAAAACTTGTAGATACAACTTACTTGTCGTCCCTCGCTTTGCAATTGTTAAAATCGATATGAAGACCACATGGCCGAGTTTTATTGGTTTTAGAGTACAGTTGGCGCACATATCATAATAAAAAAATCAGATGGTTTTGAATCTATTAATTAAGCTGTTTTTATTAACGGATTTGGTAGATTTAATTAGATAACCGCAAGGTAGTTTTACAGTGGTTTAAGAGTTGGCGTACGTTTCGTAATTCAAAAATCATTTAATATTTGTTTATATCTAAATATTCGAGCATTTCTATTAGCGGATTAGGCGAAATTTTGTGGGTTTTCTGTTTGTCACCTTCTGGAGTAACTAAATTTTTTTTTAAGGTTTCAGATTACAATTTTTTTTTTCATACCTTTCCGTACTTTTTAAGACTCTTGACTAGTTAGTTTTAATAAAAATTTCAGATTGCATGTAAAACCTTTTTTTTATATATATAAGAAAGAAATTTATCTCTTTAATGTGTGTTGAACTCGCAGTTTTAACAAATTACCTAAAACTTAAGTATCTCTATCTATATATGCGCAACAAATTTCCAACAGCGTTTTTATGTTTTTAAAAATTTTTAAAAACGTTTTAAAAAATTCTCTCCGTTTGGTTTCTTATAGTATATTATATCTTTATTTTAATGTAATGCGTATAACATCTATATGCATTTAAACTTGTTTTTCTTTGTTTTCTAGAAAACTGGATAGGATTTAAAAAAAAAATTGTGTAAGCAAAAGGTTTTGAACCGAAGCGAAGCACTTCAATCGCTGTGGAATGCTATATCATCTTTTTACACTATTTAATAAACAGAAAACTTATTAAACTATAAAAAACAACATTTAATGCTTTAAAATAAAGAGATATTGTCGCAATGAAATTATTAAGTAAAAATAAATCGGTAGAATTTGATGTCATCTACTTTATAATTATACTGATTGATAATTAAAGAACTTAAAGTTTACATATTTAGATTTTGAATAGACTTTCGTTCACATTGATAAAATACAAATCATAACGGATTGTGGTTCCGAAAAAAAAGGTTAATACACTACCATCTATAATTATTGGAAAGGTCATATTTTTTAATTTCAAAGATATCAAAGTTTGGCGAAAAAGTGAAAACAATGTCTACCTGAATTATATCTTCCTATTTATTAGGTTTACAAATAAAACTTCCCTAATTAGTTTATAATTTATTTAAAACCCTGATTAGCTTTTAATTTATTTGCCTATTAATCACCCTTAACAACAATAACCGCCATAAATATATTCTTAGCATTCTACTTAACGACTTATCTAATTAGTCTATTTTGTCACTAAGTTTAAAAAAAAAAAAAAAAAAATACCCATGTATAAACTGAATATCAATTTATTTATCTATTTAATTTAATATATATAATATATAATTTAATATATTTAATTTAATCTAATTAATATAATTGAAATACTACTAATCAATTTACTGATATTTTTTCTATAGCATTGTTAAAAATGGTCATATTCTGAAAGGTAAAGAAATTGATTGAAAAGAAAGTTGCACAAAAGAAAAAAAAAACTTATTAAAAAAAAGTTATTCGTTTCAAAAAACGTTTCACGAAGAGTTTTTCCGAACAGTTTTATTTTTAATTGGGTTTTTTTTTGAATTACGTCATAAGCATATTAAGGCGTTTTGAAAAACAGTTGCTGCATATATTTATTGTTAAAAAGTTAATGTAGCAAAATAAACTTTTAATTTTGAAAAGAAAGTTTTAATGTTTTATCTAGCTACAGGTTGTTTTTTTTTTGCCTCCACAGCAGCATCTTATGAAGTAGCAGGGCTGTCTTGTTAAGTTTTTTCTTTATTAAGTTTCAGACAACTTTTTTTTCAGACCATCAGCAGCTTATTAGGACTAATTACATTCGCACATTAATAACATAATTGTCTCAATTATCATAGATACGCAACATATTTTTTCTCCTGGTGATGTTTTTTTTTTTTTTTTTTTAATGTTTTATGAAGTTTTAGCATTCTTAAAATCTTTTCTTTTGTGAGTGCATACTATCGTTACGTTACATATGTTTGTATATAATCTTTATAAAACTTCGAAAGTATTTTGTATTTTAAAATAATTTTTAAAATTAAAAAAAATAGCCGCCTTTGGTAGGAGTCGAACCTCTAGTTCCTTGTTCAGAACTTCGCCGCCTTATCCACTCGAGCTACACCGGCGTATCATCCAGTGTAGATTTTATAATAATGTAGTAATTTTTTTGAGGAAAAAAATGTTAGATTAAAATTAAGGAGAGGTTGACGCAATGTAATTTTCAAGTAAAAATCAAACTGTAAAACGTGATAAATGTTTCAGTTTGTTTTAACATATGCTTTAACATTTCTTAGTTTAAAGTTTACGTACGTTAGATATTCGTTCACGTTTTCTTATAATGCTGTGACTCTTTCTTGCCAATACCTCGGTTACAATGGCTGCCAAAGGTTTCGTGTCAAATACGCTCCAAGGGACACTACTAATACTATTAAAACTATTAAGTTCGGCAATATTATATAGAAGATATATATATATATATATATATATATATATATATATATATATATATATATATATATATATATATATATATATATATTTAAAATTAACTAACCAATTATATTATCAATAAGGAGCTTTTTAAAATGAACAGATTCATCTCGCTCACAAGCATTTAATAACTTTTGTTCAATGGGTTCTTCGACAGATCGTCTCTAAATAAAAACACTTATAATAATAATTTATATTTGATTTGTGAAGCAGCTTAAAATTATTTAGCTTTTTCAAGCTGCTTTAGTGAAAGTAAACGTTAGAGGGACAAAGGTAATAAAAACAAATAAAATGAATAAAATTTATTCCTTATTAGATCATTCCCAATGATCAATTATTTTCAATTGTTAAAAAAAGACAGGTAGGAACCTGTCTCAGAACCTTTATAATTATTTAAAACTTCATTTGAAATATTTACAATTATTTCAGATGACTTTTTAAAATCAAATAGTAACATAATATTAGGAGTTGAAGAAAGCTAGGATTCAAAAATGAGTAGCTCTGGTTAACATTACTGAAATCAAAAATGATAAATAAAGGAAAATTATAAATCTGATACATCTGCAAGTTAGCAGTTTAAGTACAAAACACCTTTTTTTAATAAGTTTAATAGTAACCCTATAAATCACTAAAAACTTTTATACTAATTTTTAATCCAGCATTTAAGGTTAAAGCTTAAAAACTTACCTTACAATATATACCTTTTAACTTACCTTTTCATAGGTTTTTACAACTTTATCCATAATTATATGATTGAGAAGACTTCTATATTTATTTACTTTCTGCTAAATTAGAAAATATTATGTTACTAATTAAAATAAATAATAGAAATAGTCTAATAAAAACAGATACTTAATCCCAACAAATGTTTATAGAAAATTATGTCTGTTAAATTGTATAAACAAATATTTTATAACTAAAATATAAAAGTGTTAGACCAAGAGACTGAAATAAAAGTTTGAGATAATGAGTATTCAAGATGATGTTGAGTGTATATA